GTTTTTTTGAAGACCATATAAGATAAGAAAATAGTTATGTTCTTCTCTGTTTTAGTCCCTTCGATGACTTCCCAATCCCTTCTGATAAAATCCCCAAACCTCAGCATGACCTATAAGGCCTTACATTAAAAATCATTCCTTCCTCTATTATTCTCAGGCATAAAATCGCCCAAACCTCAGCATGACCTATAAGGCCTTACATAATGTACCTGCCTGTCCCTCGAACTTAATCTTGCTCTATTCCATTCACTACCCAGCTGATAGACTTTCTTTCAGTTCCTCCAAAACAAATGATCTTTACAAATGCTCTTCTTTGCCTGGAATATATCTCTATCCACCACCAGCCCCACCCCCACGACACACACAGCACATGCAGGTGACTCCCAACAGCCTTTCCTTCCCAGTTTAAACATCACTTGTCACTTATTTAAAGAGGACGCCTTTGATTTATCCATTAAAAACCATTCCTTCCCCTATTATTCTCAGGCATAAAATCATGTTCATTCCTAATAAAACAAATGTTAGGTACCTTGTTTGAAACGAATGGAAAGATAGGAATCAAGCAGATGAAGAAGGAATTATTACTTTTATTACCTCTAGACAAATGTCAGACTATGTAAGCCACGGATAGATTTAAACGTCCCATAGGTTTACAGCTCAGAAGAGCAACACAGAACATGTGTTGCAAGAATGAGGGAATGAAAGAGCAGGGCTCATGGGCCCGTTTCTCCTTCCAAATGCACTAAATAAACAAGTTACCACAGTATCACACAGGACAGTGAGTGTGTGTGTGTGTGTGTGTGTGTGTGTGTGTGGTGGGGGGTGGGAGTGGAGATGGGCAAAGAGAGATGTGGGGGGGTGTTAGAAAAATCCTTCTACATGAAGTAAAGATTGGGAGTAGGGGGAAAACATTTTCTCCATTCCAAATTAAATTGTATAAATTTAAACCCTACACAATAACCATTTTTGAAGTTAATATCAGCAAATTCAAATTGTTTAAACATAACCATGCATGTATATGTTCTATGCACATGAAATATATAGATATGTTTGCATATATAGAAATATTATATTGTGTATGTAATATGTTTCAATGTATATGAACTTTATATATATAGTATGCAGGCATACCTCATTTTGTTGTGCTTCATTTTATGTGCATTATAGGCATTTTGCTTTTTACCAATAAAAGACAAGACCCTCCACCAACAAAAAGAGTACAACTCACTATATTTTGACACTTTATTACGGTGGTCTGAAGCAGAGTTTGCAGTATCTCTGAGGTATGCCTGTACTCTACTATACATTATATGTACATGTCATACATATATCTGCGTGATTATTATTATACTAGTGGCTCGGTGCATGGATTTGTGCACATTGAAAGGAAAACAATTAAAATATATATTTTAATATTGCTATTTGCCCTTTCTCCTTCAGCACCTGGGAGTTGGGTGGTGGCTCCGTCCCCCATCACTGCCACCACTGTTTGCTGTCTGTGGGGAGAGAGATAGAAACATCAACGATGAGAGAGAATCATTGATTGCCTCCTGCATGGCTCCTACTGGGGATGGAGCCCACAACCCAGACATGTGCCCCGACCAGGAATTGAACCATGACTTCCTTGTTCATAGGTCAAGGCTCAACCACTGAGTGTACCAGCTGGGCTTGCCTTATTTTAAGAACTCAATAGATACTAGCTATTGTGATGATCACACTTCCACTACTTTGCTGAGAAAAAAATCCTTAATATTTATATATTAATTTTTGATCTGGGCTGTGTAAGTTCCATTTCACAAGTCCATAACCTTGCTTCAGGAGTCCCTCATATAGTTTATCTTTCACGGAGCATATTTTCAGGTAATGTCCCATAGTTGCAACCTCCACAGTTCCTAAGGCATAACCTCAAGGAGAATAGGGTGAGTAGCAACTATGGCAAACTTGAAAGTGTACATCCTGTCCAAAAAGGGCAGCCAGTTTTCCAATCCCTTCAAACTTGCTTTGTGAGAATGTGATGTTAGTGCTGTCAGATATTGATTTTTTCAAGAGAAGCTGGAAATGCACATCTCTATATATAAAAGCCTAAGCCACCTATCAACCAAATGATTGGAATGACCAGAACGACCTATTGCCATGATACGCACTGACCAGCAGGGAGCAGATGCCCAATGCAGGAGCTGCCACTGGCGGTCAGTGTGCTACCACAGTGGGAGCACCGCTCAGCTGACCAACCCGTCCCGGTGGCCCTCCAGCCCGATGACAGCCACTCACTTCCTCAGTAGCCCTGCAGGTCCAATCTCCAGAAAATGGGCCAGGCACCAAAAGACTAGAACCACCAGCCTCCTGAAAGTTGGCCTCAGGCACCATGGTCGCATTCCTTCCCTAGATGCTCCGCAAGGAAGAAACAATATAAAAGTGGCCGCCAGGTAGATATGACAACCAGTGTGAATGTCAGCAGGATAGATCTGGATCCCCGGCTGGTAAGGGCATCTGGCAGCCTGCCTGGAGGGCCAATTGTGTCCCGGCTCCCCCCACCGCCATCAGGACCCCTCCTATGCACGAATTTGTGCACCAGGCCTCTAGTTTTAGTATAAAATCTTCTAAATTGGGGAAAGTAATTAAAAAATTGCTAAACTCTATGTGGTTTGAAAGATACTTGTATGTCATACTGCCCAGGGGCAGCTAGTTGGTGACCTCTGCTTTTATGGCAGTTGTCTTGTGGTATGGGGTTTCATCAATCCTTTGTTATTCTTTATTTACCTTTAACATAGATATTAGTCTGTGCTTTTCAAATTAGTTTTTTAAAAGTTGAATTTAATTGCTTTGCAGGAGATCTATTTCTAGCTGTTGTTTTTGAATTCCAACCTTGCTATCTTCTGCTTCTCTAAATCTTTACCTCTTTATTTTTTTATATGTCAGAAGAGTTTTCAGGCATATTACATTATAAGGGCAGAATTTTTAGCAAAAAGGAGGAAAAAAAGAGCCAAACAGTATTTTCAAGTACAACACAAATAAGTAGAATTTTGTGATGTGTTTGGTAAACTCAATTTTGGAAATATCTGAGAAAAGTGGACACAAAAAGTGGAGGCAATGATTTTACACTCAGTTGATATATTTCATCTATAAACCCATTAGGCAATAGTTACACTTTCTCTTAAAATGATTTTTCCTTAAATCATAGAAAAACAAGATTAGCTTTTTATGTTAGCAGTGGTAGAAACTACTGGATGTTAACAACGCTAAAATGCAATCAAATTTCAGATACATGAACATATTCCAAACTATGAGAAAAAAATACCACTGTGGCCTAAACTGTGTCATAACACTATTCACTTAGAATTTTTATTATATATTAACTAGAGGCCTGTTGCACGAAGAGATTCGTGCAATAGGCATTCCCTTCCCTTGGCTGCTGGCACAAGTTTTCCTCTGGCACTCGGGACCCAGGCCTTCGCTCTGGCTGGGCTCTGGCCAGAGCCCCCCGACAGCCATCAGGCTTCGCTGCTCCACTGATCCCAGGTCCGTGAGGCCTCGCGGCTCTGCTGATCCCGGGTCCGTGAGGCCTCGCTGCTCGGCCGGCTTTGGGGCCATTTGGTTTCGCTCCACCGCTTGGAGCCTCTGTATGCAAATTAACTGCCATCTTTGTTGGTGGTTAATTTGCATATTGTCCTGATTAGCCAATGGGAAGTGTAGCGAAGGTACGGTCAATTACCCTTTTGTCTTTTATTAGATAGGACAAAAATGCTTTGAGAATTATTTAGACATAGATTTTATTTATTTATTTATTTATTTTTACCAAATATCATATTGTTCTGTTTCCTTGCCTTTCTTCAAAAAGCTAGTATAACAATTTTGAGGACATTTCAAATGATAATTAAATTCAATGTGCATATCACTGTCAATGCAAGTAACTTAAGTGAAGTGACCAAGTGAAGTGACTTGGTCAACATCTGTGACCAAGTTCATGAGCACATAAGACAATCACAACTATGTCAGGACTGCTGCCTGGACAACAGCAATTCTCTTTAAGATAAATCACCATTTCAGAAGAAGTAAAGTCTAAAAATATGTGTTTCAACATCAATGAAATATTCTGATCTCTAGTGCCTACGTGAGTTTCTGAAATATTAGTTTTATAAGAAAACTTAAGTTCACTTTTTTT